GTTTTTACTGGAATGTGTACATACTTTAATGTTCAAAAAACACATTATTTTTCTCGCCCTGTCTGCTGGAATATACCTGTGATCACCCTTTGTCTGAAACACTCCATTTTTCTGTCCCCATAGGCCGTTTCACTGGAACTGGGTAAACATGAACTGAATTGATGTTCACTTCCTGTCAGCTGACGTCATTCACATACAATGCAAAACATTCCAACCAAAAAAATACAAAAGGACCCATTTAGAATGTGTATGTATAAAACAATCTATATAGTGTATTTGTGACATCACAAATTCACGGAAATCTTAAAGGTTTGTTTGTGTGCATTTCTCTGTGACCTAATCATTTTTGAAACATTTACAATATTTATATAGCACCTATACCTTCTTTATTTTTTAAAAAGAAATTGAAATCTGACTCGGTTTCCAGTTAAATGATAGCCAAAACGTCCTGACTCCCCGCTGCATCAGCAAACTTTCTGTTTTTGCCATCTTTGAAGCCGCCCTCCTCCCGACGAATGGTCAGTTCAAAGTTAGCCTGGTTAGCTCACGCTATCACAGCAGCAGGAGCTAACATTCAGCACATAGACATTAAACAGTCCCAACAAACTAACAGTGACATCGAACTGGCTTGACTCTGTCTTTACACCTGTTACCTGTTAGTCGTTCGGACAGGCAAACTCGCACAACTCTCTCCGGCGTGGAGCTCTCACTCCTGCAGAAGAAGTTACAACTAATACTGTCTGTTGTGTGTTGAGGTCGAGTGAGGTGACTTTGATGCAGGTGACAGTTGAGCATGCTGAGATGCCACCAAAATTTTCCTCCGTTTCCTCCAAAATTTTCTTTTTATCAGTATCACTTTAAGGCTACTGGTATTGGTACTGGTATCAGTTATTTTAAACAATACCCTGCCCTAGTGCGGTGGATTAAATTTACCTCTAAGTCTCACCTGACCTTTAATTTTTTGATGATTTAGGATCTCATTGGAGCTTTGTCTTTCTCCATTTGATCAATGTAAGTGCAAAGTTCACTCTCCTTTAGTGAGTAAATCGGGAAAACAGAGCTTTCTGAAATTTCTGAAATTGTATGTCAACTTATCAGCTGTGTTAAAGGTCCAGTGTGTAGGATTTAGGGGACTATATTGCCAGTAATGGAATGAAATATTCATAGCTATGTTATGTATCACCTGAAACTAAGAATTGTTGTGTATTTGTTAGCTTAAAGTGAGGTGTTTATATCTGCGTATCCACTGAGTCTGCAATGTTGTTTCTACAGTAGCCCACAATGAACAAACCTCCGGCTCCAGATAAGACATTTCGTTTTCTCACATTCGCATGTCGGCCACGATAGGTTTCTTCCATGCCAGGGAATTTGTAATTGACTGCAATTTGAAACCTCACCACTAGATGTCACTAAATCCGCCACACTAGACCTTAAAGACCAACTTTCTGTGACATCTATCTTCCTTTTTTGATGTTTAAAGCCCAGGGACTAATACTAGCTTTAATTATCATGCAACATGAATGACCCCTGACCAAATCAACACCTGTGCAGTCATCTGACTACAACACTGTCCAACAGACGGACCAGAAAGCACTTCCGTGCTGAGACTGAGTGGGATATGTGAATATCTAGAGGACAATAATGCATCAATGTGTTGTTTGCTATTAAGCCAAGATTTCATTCTGAATGCTCCCCACATATTTTCATCATACTATGGCAAAGGTCACACTTCTTGGTGACTGACAACCGTGTGTACTGCCTAGGGCCATTGACACTCCATTGAGCTACATCATACGGAAGCCACACATTCTCAGTAGCAGCTTCACCCCACAACAATGTTCTAATAAATTAGTGACATTTAAGCACAAGAATCAAACGTAAACCCAACTTGACAGTGATAAGTGAGAAACAAAACAGGATGCCAGGAGGTAAAGAGTGTTGAAGGAGGAGAAATTGAGGTTGGAAGCACACCGGTTACGGACCTGGAGGGCAGATACCTCGTGGTGGGCAGGAAGGTAGAAAGAGAATTGAGAGGAAGCGAAGGGAGAATAAATGTGAAGCTACAAGGAAGTCAAGAAAGATTACGAGTAGTGAAGTTAGAAGTGAAGAAGGGTGAATCAAGGTAAGGAACTCAGACAGGGTGCGATGTATAAGAGGTTTAAAGGTGTAAGGGTGAGAACATGGAGGACAAGATGAAGGGCACAGAGGGGAGCAGGGTGAGATTTTTGAACTTCCAGTGTCATGCTGTATGAGTGTGAGGCGGTTAAAGGCTAATCAGTGCTGCAGGAACAGGAGGAGAATGAGCACATTTCAATGAAAGTGTATATTTGTGCCATGCAGTTTCTCTACTTCTCCTGGCAAGCTAGCATCCAACTGTGCTAAAGCCCAGTCTCTTTTCCCCAAAACAGCTTTGTGAATTAAAAGCACCTGGCATCCGCTCGCCGGAGTTCTTTCAGCTATTTGGAATGACATCTTTGCAGGCATTTTCTCCCGCTGAGGAATAATGACGTTGCGTGTAATGTGCACGTGTGCACAGGTGAGCACGTTCAAAATTACCATCCTTAAAATCAGTCGTGAAAAATCAAGTAATTGTTCCTTTTTGATATTCTGTTTCAATCTGTGAGACCATGCAAGCTCTCACAGTCTGCAAACAGAAGGGATTTGTGGGCATGCTCAATAGGTCAGGCTGCAGAAAAAGTAAATTAGGCGGAGAGAAAATGGGCTTTCTGCATACTGCCTTAGACAGAAAGGTTAATGGCTTTATGAGATTGCAACGACACATTATTGCAAACACCTCGGAGCAAACAAATTATTTGATTGTAATATTGCAGGATGTAGCTGTTGTTGCAGCCTGTTGTTAATGGAATATATTAAATCCACAGACATGTGTAAATGTGTGATAATGTCTTACAGCTGCACTGACATGTGTATGGACATGCCTGTATATGTTTGCATTTACATCTGCGACAATGTGCCCCTCTATGTGCATGTCCGTATAACTTGTTCTGTTTAATTTCCAAGCTGTTTCAAAGCTAAGCAAAGAGAGCCCGAGGCAGGTGTCTGCAGGGGCCTAGGGCCCCGGGGCCACATCAAAGGGCCTTTTGACTGGTTGCTTATGTGTAGAACTGCACTAATTAAGCACAACCCACTGTAATAGTGTTCTGGTACATAAACAGTGCAGAGGAATCCTCCACAGATCTGCAGCTCCCCCTGGGGCTCCACAGTGGCAAACTGACCTCTAACACAACATATATCACAGCTGGGAGTGTCCATGTGCAGGGAGGGATGGTGTGTGTTTTATCTGTGTTCGGGGAGGACAAAAGGGGCTGTGTGCGTCATGATACATGTGTTTGCTACCGTGTGTCCATGCAGTCGATCAGTGACAAACCGCAAGGAGTTGTGCGAAACAGGCAGTGTGTGCAGATCTTGGTGTGGGCTCAGCTGTCAGGTCTCCCCGGTGGGCCATTACCTCTGATGCTTGGCTAGGGTCTATCAAGTGTAGGACATCAACATCACCCTTGTACATGAAGACACACACACACACACACACACACACAGGCTTGCTACCTCCTCACCTTGGTCTGATGGGATATCACTGGGGGAATGTACATCCACCGCCAAAGACAATTTGTCTTGATAGCCGAGATCGCAGCCCCAAAGCGATCTCTCTCTTCCTCCCTCTCTCTGCCTCATCTGTGTCCCTCAGGTAGCTGGATGTGTCCGAAGGTAAAAAGCACGACGGGCTGACATGATGTTTTGGCTGATTGACGACAGGCCGGCTCACCACATGAGTGGAGAAGCAGCCCTGCCTGGGGTTTATATGGGGAAGCGAATGAACACTGGCACATGGATGTTAAGCAGTAAATCTTCTCTACAATGAGATCTGGATGCTGCCCGGGAGCACATGGGCGTCATTTGGATATGACTGTGGGGTGACACTCATTATACTTCAGCTTAAGTGACTGCAGATAGCTGTGTGAAAACAAGCAAAAGATGGAGCATAATTCAAAGTTGCTGTTTTTTTTCTGAATACTTTTATCCTGTGAGCTGGGAATTCCTGGCAGGCACTCGCTCGCCAACTCTGGATACATGGCTCTGCAGTGGGAGAGTGACTGAGGCAGATGTTTGGCTGTGTTACGACCCTGGTAATAAGACAGACATGTGGCCTGTGCTGCATCCAGAGGAGCAGGTGCTGCCACCACGCAGCCATTACCATCTGCATTGATGAGATCAGGGACTCGGCCATGCTGGATGTTAGATGGTTATTATCCCTTAAAGTAAAACATAAAATAAATAAACGTACAAGGTGGTGGAGTCAGCAACCCACCCCCAAAAAATCTGTATAATATTCCAAAAGGGACTTGTAGTGCTGATTAGTGAGTGCACAACCTAATCTCATTGTATATTATATCTCTTTTATCTCTTGTGGTATCACTATAAAATTCATTTAATACCCCATTTGGCACTCAAAATACTGCTGTGATATTTATCCCTCAGTGATTAACATGTTTAGCCTCCTATAGGGATTAACAGGCGAAATAGAGAATTACATGCTCTCTGTGCTGAAAGGGTAAACTATGATGGATGGAGAGATGGACTGAGGTAAGGATCGATGGAGGGATGCTTAAGGTAGTTGAGTGAAAAGTGAAGGGGCAGTGGGAGAGGGAAGGTGCAGGATGGAGGGGTGGGTGAAAAAAATGGGCTAGTATCCCTTTAACGTCTTCTGACGTCATGCTGATGCAGATCTGCCCGGCTGGATGCGAGCGGAGGAGAGGAGGAGAGGAGTAGAGGGATGCCGAAAAAATGAAACTCCTCAGCACTAATTTTTCTCATCTCTCTGCGTGAGAAGATGGACACCGACCCTGCGACACCCACTGTGGGCTTAATACGTACTCCCACTACTGAGTGAACTTGAGCGCGCGCCGCCAACGTAACAGAAACGGAGGTAAACGCGACACATTTTTTAGTAAAAAAGCGACCATATTGAGGTCAGAGGAAAGCGTTGCCAAGGCGACCAGCTTGCTAGGGAGGACACTGCGGCGCGCGTCACGCGCCGGGAACGAGCGTGTGTGCTTGCGAGGGTGCGCACGTGCGCGGGCGCGCGACAGCTAGCCGAGGCGGTCACGGCATCCACACAGCAGCAGCGGCAGCGGCAGCAGAGGCAGCATCTTTCCCCCACACAAGACTATCGGAAGACCGCGCAGTCTGTGTCCGCCGTTAACCGAGACGAGGTGAAGCAAGGCGAAGCTTGCACCGTGACTCGAAGCGGTGCTCTGCGGTGTCGGAGGTCTCCTTGAGGGGATTTATTGAGGATTTATCGACGACGTCCCAGAGAAACGCTCAAAAAACACTGAGGAGCTGCGACCATTGGTCAACACAGGTGACACTTCCCGGCTGTCAAATCTGCCGAGACCCCGCAGACACGACTTATTTTGGTGTTATTTTTGTCGTATTAAGGCTTCGATAAAAACAAACATTCTTCCCGAGGCAAACCGGACTGTCAGCCGGGAAATTAATTAATATATTGGCGTGCTGGAGAGGACGGGGACTGAGCAGAGCCTGCTGTTCGGATGGGGAACCATACTATATCCTGCTGTATGTGCTGTGTGATGCAGTAGCTTTATTTTTGGTATTCAGACTCCACTGTCATTGTCTCCAGTCATGAAGTCCCACCTGGGTTGAACGAGGCAGTGTTGTCTGGGGGACATTTTTGAAGGTGGTGGGTTTTTTTTAATTTGTTTTTTAGAAACAAGCACTTTTTGCTTGCTTGACATTTACCGCTGCTGGAGGAAGGTTTAGTGAAGAGGACACGGAGGAGAAGGAGGAATCTCAGGAAAAAAACATCAGTGGGAATCTGGCACCCCACCAGCACCCGTGGATCACAAATTAACAGGTAGGCTGAGGTTTGCATGGTCAATGCTAATTTCTACTGAGACTATTCTTACCAAAAAATCCGAGTTACACACTGTTCCTATTGATCATCTCTCCTAATCTGCATTAAATTAGCATTTTTAACTATGCGTGTGTGTGTGTGTGTGTGTGTGTGTGTTTATGTTTGTATGCTCGAGGGATGTCTGACACCTGCAATAAGAAATGTAAAGAAATGAGGATCACAATCAACAAATTGGGGCTAAAACGAGGGATTTTTCTTTGCAAACATTTGATATCTGTTGCCTATATGTCATTTCTAAAACATATATTTTTGGAAAATTAATGGAGATCAATGTTGTCAACAGGCCTCTTGAAAAAAATGCATTTGGAGTTGTCCAAAACATGTCTGCAATGAATAACACCTTGTACTTGAACAGTTTTTTGCCCCATCTGTTGGATCTTGCAGCATATTGTTGTATGTTGTATGCATGTGTATTTGTGACAGACTTGATGCATCCTTCATAACAGTGATGTATCCTCTGTACCATTAATAAGGACTTGGACTCGGAGCTCCTCTGGTGGAATGAGAGAAACAGAGGCTGCTATTCAGTCAGCCCGAGCTCGTTCCTCTGTCCTCGTAACATGCAGAATTTGTAGCTTATTAATCAAAGTGCTTGGCTGAGATTGCACCAATGCCGGATAAGTCACTGCACATATGGCGATCATTTTGCCCTTCTATAATTGTGTATTGTTTGGGGTAATAATGAAATGAATTGGAGTGGAATGGGAATTTTTACAAGCAAACCAGCCTGTGTTGCAGACGGGATTGAAATGATGAACGCACACACACTCACAAAGGTCCCCCTTCAACAGTTAAAATCATCCTTCAACTTAATATGATCTTCATGGGGGCTTTATACTCAAAAGACCCAGGAAACGCCATGGCCATGAGAACATATTCCTCTAAATGCTCCCCTCCACACACACACACACACACACACACAAATAAATGCACACATACACACACAGCACGAAGAATGGGGCGCATTTATATGCTGTGGCTGGTGTTGTGGGGCATTCGGATCGGCAGGGCCTGCTAGATGATAGAATTCAGCAGGGACAAGAAGACCTCTGTTCTTATCTGCAGCGACGAGAAGGGGAAGGCAGCTCCGCTCAGCTCAGCTTGGCTTCTCTCCTTGGTTTAGGCAGCCAGCCTGCCCTATATAGCAGATAGGGACATCTCCTCTGTGGGGAGAAAGCATTTTAATGGAGGCGGGGGGAAAAAATGTGCAACTGTCCTTGTGCTAAATAGATGTTGTCACAGAGGAGTTGTTATTTATCTGGATGGTGGCTGGCTTGAAATTTTGAAGACCTGTGGAGATATTTAAAGGGGATAAAGGTGGCAGGCTAATGCATTGTGTAGAGTGATTGCAGGCGTTTGTGTGTTAAAGAGGAATATGCACACAGAATGGGAGAAACAGGGGGAGACATCCTCTGCAGCAGTGCAATATGGTGTATCCTAATTCATTTTGGGTCAGTGGCTGATTTACAAAACATAAATGCCAGGTGGCCTTGTCAAAGAGGCCTGTGCACACTACTTTATGTATCTGAGCACCCTGCATGCGAGAATTTGTTCATTTTCTCTGTGTGTGTCCCAAGCAAATTGCATGCAGACCCCTGAAAGCATTGCTCAATGCCATCCATCCTGGGCAAGGTGCAGCAAAGCTGGAGGCAGATGGGGCTGAAGCGTTTAAAGCGCTTTGTCGGGTAGATTGATGGCTCCTAGCGCGGGTCGCCAAGCAGTCAACAGATGCAGGCTAGTGTTGTGACAGGGTGGTTTGAAATAGCCATCACAATCGCACACAACCACACTTTAGCAGTCCTTAAAAGCCCTACCTGTCCGTTTACGGCTAATTTTATCCCTCACTATTTATTTTTACTGTGGATAAATCGGTGACAGCAGGTCCCCCAGTGCGTACGGATGTTTTCTGACTGTGGAGATGACAGCAGTGGCTGCTAATTTTAGGTGAGAGGTGTCATCTGTGTGAAAAATCTTCAGCATTATGGCAGCTGACGTGTTGACTAGAGAGCTGGAGACTCGTCTGATGAATGCTGGTGATTTGAAATGTTTGTTTAGCAAACTCGAAATGAATTAGTAAAGCCAAGGCTGGCTGAACACACAGGTCCTCGGGGAGGCGCTGTTGTTCAAATTTCCCTCCTGTTACGAGAAGCCGGGGAAGGGAACTATGTGTGTCAGTCATTGCTTTGAAGGCGCACAAATGTATTTTCAGGACTGCTGGCATCATTTTATTTCCCTGACAGCGAGAATAAGGTTCCAATGTGACAAACTGTACAGTTAGCTGTTGTATAATTGATGGAAAATTGAATAATTTCACAACCTGTTTGCACATTTGAAGGGTCTGTTTAGAAAAGGTGACTGAGAGCAGCTTGTTAGACAGACACATGGTTAATGAACAGCTAATTTATGGAAGTAACAGTATTCTATGTCCCTGGGAATCCTTCTATGAGTGGATGCTGAATGTTTCTGCAGATTCTCTGACACGTACCTGTTGCTCTGACTGCATCTGCCATTCTATTAAACTCCACCACCAAACCCTGTTTTTCTCTGCTTCTCCAGTACAAAATAAAGCTGATTAAATGGAATATCTCCACAATGGATGCTCTTTTTTTATATGGCAAGGCTTGGTAATTGACAATAAGCTGTTCACAATGGGAATATGCCTCCCCTTCTCCCTTGAGCACTAGGCTCCCCATGTAATCACCCATATGTTTGTTGTCATATGCTATTGCTCTCTACCCATTGAATGAATTCCACTTCTGGACTACCTCCCTCTTCCGCCAAAGACAGTATGCTTTGTAAGACCACATATAGTCTGCATGGTTCTAGGGCTGCAATTATTTTGTAGAATGTTTCCTCAATTAAAGGTCCAGTGTGTAGGATTTAGGGGGATATACTGGCAGAAATGGAATATAATATGATAAGTATATATTCTGTAGTGTATAAACAACTGACAATAAGAATCATTGTGTATTTGTTACCTTAGATTAAGCAGTTTATATCTATATTGAGAGTGGGTTCTTGTTTGTGGTGATCGCTATGTTGCACCGCCCCATTTCCCAGACTGGACAAACCAAACACTGGCTCTAGATAGGGCCATTACCGTTTTCATTGGCCACTGTAGTTAGAAGCCCCTGTCGCAACAAGCACTGCTTGAAAAACACTGTTGTTTTTTTTACGTGAAACTGCTTTACTCAGTGCGTTTACCAGGTCTGCCACTAAATATCCCTAAATCTTACACACTGATTTACACACCTTGATTGATTTACTGATTTGCACACCTTTACGACACACCTCGTGTCGATGAATTGTTTGGTTTGTAATAGTGTTGGGTATCGTTTACATTTAAATAGATAACGATACCAGTACTGGTACTGGCACCTGGAATTTGGTACAAGTACCCAAGAGTACCCTTTTCTGGTACCTTACTCTCTCTGTGATGACACAAATGTATTTCAAGTTGTAAAAGATAAGTCCAAACTCCGAGCTTCTTGATGAAAATGCAGAGTCTATGGGATTACAAAGCAGAGCAGGGTGTGCTGCTCTGTTAGTCTCTTCAGAGACAGCACACTCTGCTCCGTCTCGGTTGCAAAATGTAGATAAATATATAAACAGTGCCTTTTTAATTGGCATTAACCTCTCATTTACGTATGTATTTCCAGAAAAATAGACTTGAAGCCTACATGAATGCTTCAGGTCGAGGTAACGCCCACGTGACACAGCTAAGAGTCGAGCCTGCATGGGGCTGGTGCAGACAGCTGCAAAGATTAAAATAAATGTGTATCTGTTGCTTGGGGCATGTGGGGAAGGTTTCCCCCTTCACTGCTGCCCCGCGTTCCAGCTGCACACCCTGTTTTTATCCGCCCTCCATTGTCTAGAGTGGCTGCGATCAGCTCCAGTGGTCACCTAGCAGCAGGAATTCAGCTCACTTTCTCACCCAGATGTGCTCCCAGGTACCGAAATTTGGTATAGATTGATTTAATGGGAATCGTCACTCAGTAGCACTGATGTAAATTGGTCTGTAAAAAAAGTACAGAGTTTGGTACCCAACCCAAAGCATTAGAAAACAGTGAGAAAAGCCTGTTACAATATCTTAGAGCCTAAGGTGACCTCATCAAACGTCTTGTTACTTCCAACAAACATTTCCAAACCCAGGAATATTAAATTCACTATAATGCAAGACCAAGGTAAGCAGCAAATCCTCACAATTGACAAGCTGGAAATATAGTTTTATGATTATCAACATAGTTTGCAATGAATTATCTGTCGATCCCAACATTGATTAATTGACCAATCATTACAGCTCCACACGACTCCTTTATTGCCTTTATTCCTCATTTGTGCATTCATTTGTTTCTCTTCTCCATCCATTTGTGGCCGACTCATTTATTTGGTTCAAAGGGAGTCTGGCTGTTTGTTTTTTTGCAAGTGTGTGTCGTTGCTATGGCAGCATCTTTTTGGAAGGATAAGCCCCGCAAAGATTTTAAACCTGAAGCTTTTGTTTTGTTTTTGCTGGTTTGTATGAGTGCTTCTTCTTGTGTCTGTGTATATTAAGATGGCAAAAAATTAATCAAAAAACAACTGACATCACCATATTGACTGCTGCAATGTCCAAATTGCTGGAGGCTGCATTTTTTCCTTTATGATAAAGCCCAGTAAACAACATTCTCTGGTGCTGTGCAGAATCCTGTCATGAAATCGTTATGCCCAAATATTTTATCCCATTCGAAATAAGCAAACCTAAGCATTAGCATGCCTTATTTACTCCATTTTTGCAGCTCTGGCAAAAAAAAAAACATCTTCAAAAGCTGTATGTCTATTTTTGTTATTTTTTTGTGGTTCTTGCATATGTGGTAGTGAATGCTGGCAATTTTCTATTAGCATTATTAAAGGTAGATGATGAAATCATATTGCTGATGGTTGTTCTCTGAGCAAAGTACCTC